TGCCCCCACTCCCTCTTCTGTATAAAAGGCTACTGACCAAACCTAAACAATGGAGTATTAGAGCCCTGTGTGACCTGTGTGTGAACAGCGACCACCTCTGTAATACTGACCAGCAATTTCTGCAACAGACCAGCCTGCATACTGCATTATACAGTTTTTATAAAAGATGCTGTATTACCACTTCAACACACCACCCAACAGTGAGTCAGCATGGAGCTTGCTGTCCTGAGAGTCTATGGGTCACTTGGGGTCCCTCACATGGTCAGCCTTCTCACCGCACCAGGCCGCTCTGCACAGACATCTCCCCCTGGTTGGTCCTCTGACTCCCCACTCTGGGCGACTATGCATGGGGGTGCCCTTCCCATCCTGCTGCTCCACGGAGATGATTTCACATGGCAAATGTTCGTCTGACTGGCTGCCCTAATAGCAGTTGTTCTATTTACATCTCATTTTCAGTGTTTAACTTAATCCTCAGGACAAACATAGAGCTCAATCAGTGATCATTATTATTATAAAATAAGTGAACTTTAGAGTTTTGTGCACTTTCCTGTAGATGTATACTTTAATACAATTTATTTCCCAGAAATATCTAATACTGTTGTTAAAACAACTCTACCAGAAAGAAGTCTAAAAATTCCTGTTACCACAAAATTGCCCCTGCGCCTTGGTGGAGGTGCAGACGGCAGCTTGGCCGCTATCTGATCAGAGAAGGAAATTTGTTCAAGTCCCAACACTTCTCTGTTCTTTAATGGGTTGTCCTTGTAGCACTGGGAAATGCCAGATGGTTGTTAAAAACTGAGGGTTGCTGGTTTGTTTGTTTTTTTAAAGATTTACTTAATTTGAGAGAGGAGAGAAGGTAGGGAGGAAGAGAGGGAGAGAAACATCAGTGTGTGTGTGTGGTTGCCTCTCACACGCCTCCAACCAGGGACCCAGCCAGCAACCCAGGCAGGTGCCCTGACTGGGAATTGAACCAGTGACCTTTTGGTTCACAGGCCAACACTCAATCCACTGAGCCAGACCAGACAGGGCTGTTTGGGGGGTTTTGTTTTGTTTTATTTTGTTTTAACTTCTCTATTAGGCTACTTCAAGAAATGTTTTAAACATACGCATATCGGTGCATCTGAGTGTGGACATAACCTTGCCTTGCTTGATCCTTTCCCTTTTTCAAGGCGTTTGTTTGACACATTATTGCTGTTAGAGGTCAGGGGGAAGGTAGTACAGGAGCCAACTCCGCTCTCCAGTATAAGATTTCGTCAGTATTAGGTGTTTTAGGTTTGACAATGAATGGTATTGTTATTTTGAAAGAGTATGTGCTGAAATATTTACAGATAAAATGACATAATATCTATGATTTGTTTCCAATGAAACAAGATTAGCCATAAATTGATAGTTGTTGAAACTGGGTGGTATTATCTCTGTACTTTTTTATATGTTTGAGATTTTCCATAGTGAAAAGTTGTTTGTTTGTTTTTTTAAAAGAAGGGATTGCTGATGCAGTTATTCCTGTGTTGACGGCTGCAGGGCTATAACGCTGAAGCCAGTTCGATCGTTTTGGAGGCGGGTGAGCAGCACTTGCCCCTTCCCCCTTTCAGCGCTTCTCCATGTGTTTACAGCATCTTGGGTTCACGACTCCATTCCACCTGGATACTCTGCTCAGCTCCCTCCCTGCAGGCTGAGCTCAGAAGAAGGAATGAGGCATTCTCAAAGCAGGACATATTTGGGTCACAAAAGAAGACTTTGCGCTATACTATTTGGCTACTCAGGCAGCAGGAAGTTGAAGGAACTTAGAGAAGCCAAGCCTGCAGTGAGGCTGGCGTTCTGCAAGCCTGGAACAGCAGGGGATGTGTGGAGCCGCTGAAGCTGCATTTCTGACACATGCTAATAAGCTTCGCCCAGGGATGTAAACACAGCACTTCAAACTAAATTCTGGTGAAATTTAACAACCTTTGCTTAACCGTCTCCCTAGACTGCTTCTGACTGGACACAGAATGCCAAACTAGAAGTGGGCAATGCCCACCTCTGACAGCTTTCTGATGCCAGTTTTTTTAAAGCTCCGCCATCTGAGCTACCCAGGCCCCAAGGAGATGATAATGCCATTTTTTTTTAAAGCTGCCGTTTATGCCCAGCCTCCGCGTGGGCATATCCAAAGGAGAAAAGCAAATGTGTTTTCTGAATACCCAATTTCAAGCTTCTCAACTCATCTCTATAATCTTCCCCAGTCTGGCTGGGAAGTAAGCTGTCAGACGGGGACCCTGGAGAACTGCGGCCTGAGTCAGGAGGACTCATTAGGCTGACACTTGACAGCTGGTTTTGTCATGCTAACTTTAGACTCTTCCTAATCAAGGACCACCGGTCCCTGAGGCAGTTGTGATCATTGCCTGTTTGCGAAATTAGGTCTTTCTCTAGTGAATAGAGAGACTTTGAGTGCACACACTGGAGTCACTCAGTTGGTTATGTGGTCAGAGCTAAGGAGGCCAAGGACAGGGATGGGTGGTCCTCATGTGGATGGGGTAACTCCTCTGTTTCCTAAGACCAGCCATGAATCTTGAAAATATTTGCCAGTAGGTTCAAAGCTGAACTCATTACCCAAAGTGATGGACTCTCAACCAATGACCTAAAGCGGCTCTTCCTGTCTTCAGGGCCGCCAACCAGCCAGCAAGGTTGTGTTTCTCCCTCTTTCCCATCTTCCATTTCCTATTGGTCAGCAAGTCTTTCTTTCTTTTTCTTTCTTTTTTTTTTAACATTTTATTTATTTAATTTTTAGAAAGAGGGGAAGGGAGGGAGAAAGTGAGGGAGAGAAACATCAATCAGTTTCCTTGCATACGTGCCCCAGCTGAGGACTGAACTCTCAACCCACGCATGTGCCCTGACCAGGGATTGAAACAGCGGCCCTTTGCTTATACGATGCCCAACCAACTGAGCCACACTGGTCAGGGCTGGTCAGCAAGTCTTGGTTTTACTTTTGTCTTCCTGCCTTCATTCATTCATTCATTTCCACAAATATTTACTGAGCACTTTTCTAGGGGCCAGACACAATGTTAACCTGTGGGGATACAACAGTGAATGGGACAGTCCTACCTGATCCCTGCCTTCAGTTCTTTAAATTTTTTAAAAGTGTGTTTACTTTTAGGCAGAGGGGAAGGGAGGGAGAAAGACAGGGAGAGAGATGGGGAGAGAAACATCAATGTGTGGTTGCCTCTTGCATGCCCCTACTAGGGACCTGGCCTCCCACCCAGGCTTATGCCCTCAGTGGGAATCAAACTGGTGACCCTTTGGTTCACAGGCTGGTGCTCAATCCACTGAGCCACACCAGCCAGGGAGCCTGCCCTCAGTTCTTATATGTTCTCCTGTTTGGGCCCTAATCACCATCCCCACTGCCTTAGCTCAGGCCCTTGCAGGTTCGTTCTCACCTGAACTACTGCAATAGTTTCCTAACTGACTTGCCTGCCTGTGGGTGAGATTTTGGATCAGTTAACTGGTTGTCGTTCTCTTGTTAAAATTACAAACCTACCTTGAATTAGCTTAAGTGACAATAGAGGTGGGGTGGTTTGACATATAACCAAACAAACTACAGGAATGGCCAGAGCTCGGGCGAGTCTCAGGGTCAAACGGAACCAGAAACATGGGCAGTCGCGAATGCCCACCTCCACTGGTCTCTGCTTCCCTGTGAATGTCAGCTTCACCATTTGAGAGAGATTCCTTTTTTCTAGCTGAGTTCACAATTCCTAAAGAAATGTTCAGGTTGGAAATGTTTCCTTGGGTCACCTGACCTAGGAAAGAGGTGGGATCTGTGTGGTAGTGTGACCGGACAGGGGCCTGGCCCTGAGTGGGCCCGCCAAGGGCCAGCTGTAGTGCATGGACTCTTAACTTCATGTAGGAAAGATTTCACAGCACGAGTCCAGGTGACTACGAGGATCCAGTTATTAAAGCTGGGGACAGTGAAACACGGAAGGGACTGGCACAGAAACAGCAACAGGAGAGCCGAGGCTGGGCAGCCTGAGCTCACTGGGAAGTCAGGGGAAAGGGGGCTTTGGGGACACATTCAGGGGATTAGCCTGGACAAGCTGCTGCTGCCCATTGCCTTAGAGTTAAGGACACGCTATGAAGAAAGAAGTGGGGGAAGAAGGGAACGGAGCACGCTGCTCCCCAGAGGGAGAGGGCATGCTGGGGCCTTTGTCTTGAGGTTTTTATCTGTCTCTTGCAGACAGAAACCTTAGGGGAGGTCTCAGGGACGATTTCAGTAGACTATTCAGCCATTCTCCAGGTGTACAGTTTCTGGGGTCTTTAGTCATTGAAATTGATTCTAGTGTTGCCCACCTGGTTTTGCTGCTTTTCTGGGCCTGGAGCTGAGGCCTAGATGTTATCTCCAGGGAGGAAAGGTTACCTTGGGAGCAAGATCCTCTTTTCCCAGTTTTGTCCCCCTGCTGGGGACTCTGACTGCCTGCCATGGTGACCATCTGCCCCTGGCTGTAAATGGCTAGGCCACTGTGTTCAGCTATGTGTCTCAGTTTCCTTATTCCTTTTGCCAAGGAATTTTCCTGCTTCTCACAATCTTGTCTCAGTAGGACGCCTCTGAGATGACCCCTAATGATCCCCACCACCTGCTAACAGTGCCCTTGGTGTTATTCTTTTTAGTTGATTTTTTTTAAGAGAGAGAGAGAGAAACATCAATTTGTTGTTCTACTTATTGATGCATTCATTGGTTGATTCTTGTATAATATGTATATGTCCTGACCAGGGATCAAACCCACAACCTTGATGTATCAGGGCAACTCTCTAACCAACTGAGCTACCCAGCCAGGGCCAGTGCCCTTTTATTTATCCATCCCTTCAGAATATATGCTCCATGGGGTCAGGGACCTTTTGTCCATTGCTTACTGTTATACCTCCTGTGTCTAGAACACTGCTTGCTATGTAGTAGTAGATGAACACGAGTATTTATTGCATTGGTTCATTCAATTAGCCAACAGTTTTTTACCTCCTATCCTGTGCCAGACCCAATGCCCGGTACCCAGCCAAAATGGACATGTTTCCACTGAGAATCCCAACTCAGGCAGCTTCATGGGCCTGCAATCTGTGCAGCTGTACAAGGCCCTGTGCTTAAAAGGGCCTTACACTGCTGTCATCATTTTTGAAATTCTTAACAGTGTATGACTTAGGTGACCCATAATTTTATTTTGCAATAAACCTCACAGAGTATGTAGCCAACCCTATCCTGACAATAACTCCAGAAAACTCCTTAGCGCATTCAGATTTGACAACAGTTTAGGGACAAGTCAGTAGACCCTGTACAACACTGTTAATAAGTTAACAGGCTGCCTTATATATGTAAAGCTATGTAAAGAGTGAGTGATTTACATAAATAGTACAGTGTGAACAGAGTTCTGGGACAATGCCCTCTGTAGGCCCCCAGGTCTGTCTCTTGCTTCAACAGTATGTAGACAGAACAGACCCAGGGACCCCCCTTCTTCCAGCCTCCGACCACCCTCCAGCCTCTTTTCCAGTCACCATCTTGGGAACCACCTCAGCCATCCTCAGCCTCCGAGAGCAGCCAACACTTTTTTGAGCTTCACTCCTAATTCCGGAGCAACCAGAAGCTCCCAAATTCCTCAGAATTATTCCACCAGGAGGCAGAGGCCGCCTGGTCCACCTGCGTCTGCCGGCCTCCTGCACCTACCTCTGCTGGGCCTCTGTTTCGACTGGGCAACCTGGCTCTGGAGGGCGGGGGCCACTTCCAGGGGGGCCCCGAGTGTCTCTTAAGGATGCAAAACCAGTGCGGCAGCCACGTCCTCTTCCAGGATGTGCAGCAGCCTTCCCACATGAGTGGGGTGGAACTCGGCACGCCAGGGAGACGCCATGGTCACGGAGAAGGACCTGGACCAGGCCCTTTTGCATCTCCACGCCTGGGTCCTGCCCGCACAGACACCCAGCTCTGCGACTTCCTGGAGAACCACGTCCTGGGCAAGGAGCTGAAACTCATCAAGAAGATGGGAGACACCTGACTAACCTCCGCAGGCTGGCGGCCCCCAGGCTGGGCCGGGCTAGTAGCTCCTCAAAAGGCTCGCCTTCAAACGGGGCTTTGGGGCCCAGAGGCCTTTGAGGGGCCCACTGTATCCCCCTGGTGTATGTTCTGCCAGAGCCTCTCCCTGAAACCACTAATCAGTCTTTTAACCACCCTGGAGCCCTCGTGCCATGGACTAAATGGAAACAATAAAGCTTTTTACAGGAAAAAATATATATATAATTCCAGGAGCCAGACACCCTTGGAGTTCAGGCTCTGCCATTTCCTAGCTGTGTGACCTTGAGCAACTCCTGCATCTCCTAACCTTGATTTCCTCATTGCAAATTGAGACAATAGTGTCCACCTGCGTCTGCCAGCCTCCTGCACTTACCTCACAGAGTTAGCTTTAGAATTAAAATAATACTTAAAAGATTTAGATCAGGTTCTGGGTGTCCTGAAAAGCGGGTTCAGTTGCCCCACTGCCTCCTCCCTTCTTTGCTTTCCCTTCCTTTGGCTCCTTCCACTCCCTGTAGACACTCTTGGGTGGAAAATCTGGGTCAACCTTTGTGGCTGCTAAATGAGAAGAATATTGAGAAAAACCAAGGAATTATAGCCTTCAGGGAAGCAATAACATTTCACTTAAAAATTGCTTGAGCTGAAGATTTTGTAGATGTTTGCAATTTGTATGCAAATAAACTAAAGACTTATAGCCTGAGCAGAGACATGGCCCGGGGCAAAAACTTCAAGAACCTTCAAGAAGGGCTTGGACCACAGAAGAGCCTTCATCGGTTTCTTTTTGCTGCCAGTTTAAACTAGAACCATAGATAATCCCAATGCTGCGGTTTTCACTGCCTTAGCATAACTTTAACGAATTCATTAGTATGTAGTTTTCTCACGATGTAGGTGCATTCCCATCTGTATTTGCTGCATCATCTCTGCTGTGTGGTTTTTGTTTTCACATTTGTTGTCTGTTTAATCAGGCACTGATTTGGCATTAACTTGCAAATGCTGGGTCTCCCGCAAATGCCTAGGGAAAAGGAATTTTCTTGGTCAAACATCAGCTGATTCCTGGAAAACCCAAATCAGCCCGATTAGAAGAGAAACCTGAGAACAAAACTGACAGGCAGTTCAAACCCCGTGTTCCAAGGCCAGACTCCCAGAACTGAGGGAGAACAGCAGTTTTATTTTATTCATTCATTCAGTCACCGCACATTTATTGAGTACCTGACATGCACTAGGCACTGTATTGGTTGATGTGGACGAGTGCTTTTTCATAGAGTTTGCAATCTAATGGGAGTGTAGAAAAGTATAGGCCAGCCCAATACAACCTTGATTTGAGGTAAAGGGGGGTAACGTATGGACACCCAGGGACCCCTAGGAAGGCCACTTACCCAGTGGCTAGCGATGGAGGCCAGGAGTCTCAGGGAAGCTTGAGATTGTAATTCTTGCTCATGCATTACATCCATTTGTCCAACTCTCAGCCCCATGCCTGACAGGACTCCTCTCTCTGCAAAGTTAACAAGCCTATCTTGAACACACAGCCACTTTTGGAGTCGTGGGGACGCTGCGCTGGGGCTGGGCTTGGAGTCAAAGCTTCCCTAGAGGGGCTCGTTGGCCTCACACAGAGCTACTACACTCACTCACTCACTCGTTCATTCATTCATTCCTTCACAAATACTTCTTGACCACATCCTCTGTGTCGAGCTCAGGCACTCAGGCTGCGAAATGGACTACTTCCGCAAAGTGCCTGGGCATTCCCTTGGCAACCATGTCCCCTTTTCTTTATTCCAACCCATTCACAAATGTCACCTCATTCAAATCTCACAACATCCCCAAGGAGTACGTAGTGCTGTCTCTGTTTTATCAATGAGTGGACTGAGGTCAGAAAGGTAGAGTAACTTGACACACGTTGCCCAGCTAGTAGGAGACAACAGCCAGGCTTCAGCTCTAGGTTTGGCTCCACAGCCTCTGCTCTCGCTCCCCTGCCAGGCAGGGTGAACTCCGGGCTGAGAAGGAACCTCCTGGACCACGACATTCTGTGCCATTGATAAATATTTGTGGGGCCTTTTCCGCAATGTAGATTTGTCATCCTTCCTCAGAGGGTGCGTTCCTTCTGAGAGCAGCAAGGCCATGCCCTACAGGGCCTCCACAGACAGAGGCCACCTGCCTAGGACAGTCGTCACAGCCCCCATGTCCTCTGTTCTGTGAAGTAGGCCCAAAGAGCCCTAATCCATGTCAGGCTGGGGATGCATATGAGAGAGGGGCGGCTCTGCTCCAAAGACCCCAAGGGACCCGTTCTTCCTGCATCCCAGCCCCCATCCCGGTCCCCACCTGAGCCCTCCCCACTAGCCTGAGGGTTTTCAAAGCCTTATTGGAACATCAAGACCCCAGCTGAATCTACCTTCCTTGCTTCTCAAAGGTAAAAAAAGTAAGTGTCAGCAAAGCATTTCACAGACAGATCAGCCATCTCCAGCTGAGGAGCAAAGTGGGTGCCTGGACTCCCCACCTCTTCTGGTTGGCTTCCCACCCCCTTAGACCCCCACATCTGACTTCAAGGCCTTGGCCTGATGGCTGGAGAATGTCCGTAGCAGCTAGAAAGTCCCCAGCCTTGGGTCTGACAGCTCCAGCCTGCCCCAGGATGAGAGAAATAGTCCCTCATGTTCCCAGGCCACTGCACAGGCTTCCCAGGCCACAAGGCCAGACCACAGCGTTTTCTCGTTTGATCTTCCCCCACATCACATGCCCATTTTACAGTTGAGGACACTGAGACCCAGGAAGCCTCAGAGACTTGCTGAAGGTCACCCTGCTTCTCAGTGGCTGGGCTGGGAGCACCTGTTCTGTCACTGCAAGGCCAGAGCTCCCCACGACTCAGTCACGCAGTAAGGCAGCCAAGAAATAACCGGGATGGACATGTGTGGGCATAATAAACTTCACATAAGCCCAGCTAATTGCTGAGCATGCAATGCCAGGTGCCTGGGGAAAACTGTGGGAGAGCCTGTCAGGCTCCACTAGGCACCCTGGAGTCCCCACCTTGGGCTGACAACACCACAGGGACAGGTCTGCAAAAGGAGATTCCCCCTGAGCAAGCACAGGACCAGCATCAGAGGAGAAATAACACAGGACACAGGAGCTTCAGGTCAGGAAGACATTTGGAAACGAGGTTCCTCACGAGGATGTGGGAGAAAGCAGGCACTGGAGCAGAGCTGCCTCGACCTATCGGGGAGATCATGAGGGGGTCTCACCCTCCTGAGCTCCAGAGAAGACACCTGGCACCGGCAGCATCATCAGCAGCCGGTCTGGCACTGTGTCGTGTTCTTGGTTCTGCCGAGTCCTGGTACCTGTGAATTCCTGCTCTGTGACTGTAGGCATATCGGCCTCTCAGGCTATGTCTACATTGGTAGAGCCAACCCTGGTCCACCCTACCTCTGAGGTTTCTAAGAATCACTCATGCAAGGAAGTGGGGTGTAGGAGGACAAGCCTTGGGCTCTGGAGTGAGGCCGAGAGCTTTGCGTGGGGCCCCATTTCCTTAAGTGCAAGATGGGCTCTACCTCTTACTAGCCTGGTAGTCTGGGCCAGGCGTGTTAACCTTTCTGGGTTTCAATTTCCTAGTCTGTAAATGGGGTGACAACAAAACTACCTACCTGTAGGGTTGTTGTAAAAATTAAAGAAGCTAAAATGTGTGAATCTCAATGACTGGTGAACAAGTGACAGTACTGCTGTGAGCGTCTTCGGCCGGGTGACGCAGAGGAAGGGCTTAGCCACGGAACCCATGTGTGCCCCTCCGGGAGGGGGAGGAGGCGAGGTGCAGCGCCGATCCCTTGATGAATGACTCTTGCAGGGTGGAAGCTTTTCTATAATGAAATCAGCCGTACGTGGCTGGTGTTGGGAAGAAACTCATAAATCACACAAAGCAAGGTTGGCATGTGGCATCTGGCTCAGCGGGGAACCTTGGCCCAGCCTCATGCCTGCTGTCCTCTACCCCGGTGAGATCCGTCAGAGCGTCACAGCCCGGTGCGCAGGAGAAGAGGCAGCCTGCTTCATGAGGTATGGCCTGCAGCACACAGCATCTGCTCCCAGCCTTCTGTGCCCTCTAGTCAAAGCACCGGGACCCAAAACGGTGGCTTTCAAACTCAAGTGTGCATCAGAATCCCCCAGGGCCTTTGCAAACTCAGAGGGCTCAGCCCCACCCCTAGGTTTTCTGATTCAATCGGTCTGCATGGGGTCTAAGGTGGGCATTTCTTCTAAGTTCCCCGGTGATACTGATGCTGCTCGTCTGTGAGAATGCACATGGTACCAAGTTCTGGGTCCCCAGGAAATGCTCAATCCACGTCAGCCCTTAGCATCACCAATGCATGGTTGCTTAGAGACAACAAATTAGTAGGAAGGGTGGCGTTGTGAAGGCACCAAGCTTTTAAGGACAGGTGAGAGGAAAAATGAACAAATATAAATTGAGTGCTTTCTGTATGCAATGCACTGACTACTAAATGCTTTCTCCCTCTCCCTCTCTCTCTCTCTCTCTCTCTCTCTCTCTCTCACACACACACACACACACACACACACACACACACACTCCCCCAGCTAGAATCTTTTTTTTCATTTATTCGGCAAGCAACACTTCCTGGAAGTCTTGACAACCAGGCTCTGTGCTGTGGCTGTGGGAAGTATAAAGCTGGAGCAAACATAGGTCACGTTATCAAGGAACCACAGGCCAACAGAAAACAGGAAAGAGAAGAAAAATAAGGACTAGGGAGGACAAGTCCACATCACCCCATAAGGAGGAAGGTGCTCACTGTGGCTGGAGAGGAGCATTAATGACGTTGAAGAAATAATCTAGAGAGATGCTTTCAAACAGGTGGGAGGTCAGGGAAGGTTCCCTTATGGAAGCAGAATTTGTATGAAAGAATGGGTAGCATTCAACCCACGGAGATGACGTGGTAGAGGCCTGAAGGAACAGCAAAAGCACAAACAAGAGAAGGCTGAAAGCAGGCAGAGAGAAGGCGA